CAGGATTCCCAGCCCACCCCTGGGTGCTGAAGGTCAGTTCTGTGCTCTGGGGTGGGCCCTGCCTAATGAGAACACAGGGAGCTCTTGCAGACCTATTTTTCCACAGAAAGCCAGAAACACAAGAGCTGTGAACTCATTTGGCTTCCCAGCAATTTTATTACTTTCCTTAATTGCTTTGCTCAGCCTCTGATGATTCCAGAGCTCCCAAACTCCTTTTTAACCCATTAACCAGTTTTGTCTCCAAYTGGAGCAGTAATTAGGGAAAAGCTGCTCCTGCTTATTCCATTCCTCACATCCTGATTTAGATCCCAGCAGCAGCCTGACCTCAACCATCTCAGTATTCTCTTCTTGGTTATTTTCTCATTCCCAGAATTTCTAAAAACTAAAAATGCTGTAGGAAGATTTCACCTTTTTCCATGTAAAAATGTCATTTCACTTCCTCATAGTTTTCCCTTTGACTTCAGCACAGGAATTTCCTTCAAGCCTCATAAAAACTCTCTTCATGAAAAGCTGCACTTGCCATGATCAAATTAATGGAGCTCAGGAATGCAGATTTTAATTAAAATTGCTCATGTAATTTTATAAAAATCTGAAGGATTATCAGCCATCTGTTCTTTAGGAGATTATTTTTTCAAAATAAAAATYATACAAATTTCAGTGAAAACACAGCACCAAAACTAGAAAATATGCATTAGCAACAACGTTAGTTTAGAAAAATTACCAAAATTACCAAAATAAATCCTGCCAGGATTTAAGGGTCTAAAACAATTACCTTGTTTATTATAGCTCGAGCTTCACTGGCAAAATCCCGGGAACAAACTTCCAARTGGAATATTTTCCCACAGTTTGAGACACAGGCTCCTAAAAGCTGACAACAGAAAGAAACTTGGGAAAAATGCAGGATGAAAGTGGGAATAATCCACAATAAAAGATTCAGCACGGAATGAAAAATCCAGAAAAAAAAGTTCAGCTGGGTATTCTGATCTCCAGAGCAGCAAGGAGTGATGAAGGTATTAATTAATTGATTGGTAAATATTTAATTGCTGCATTCTTTGTTGGGAAATGAGATGATTTACTCACTGTGAGTGCTTGCAAAGCCACGTGGGGAACTTTGTGATTCACTCTCTTCATGATGGCTTTAAGGCAGTCCTTGGCTCTGCAGAGGAACAAAGAAATGGAGAATAAATGGGAGTGACAGGAGCTGAACGAGGAATGAGCCCAAAGCTCCACCAAAACYGAGCCTGGTGAACAAAAATGTCACCCAACCTGAACTGTGCAGGGCTGGGCTGACACTGAACCACTGAACAATTTGTTTATGCTGTGCTGGACTGGGAAAGATTCCCCTTTTTTCTCCAGCATTCTGTATCCATTTCCATAAAATTCCATTTTTCCCCCAGCATTCTGTATCCATTCCTATAAAATTCTCATTTTTTCTCCAGCATTCTGTACCTATTTCCATAAAATTCCCCTTTTTCTCTGGCATTCTCTATCCATTCTTATAAAATCCCCTTTTTTTCCCGGGCATTCTGTATCCATTCCCATTAAATTCCCTTTTCCCCCAGCATTCTGCATTCATTCCCATAAAATTCCCTTTCTTCCCTGCATTCTCTATCCATTCCCATAAAATTCCCTTTTCCCCCTGCATTCTGTATCCTTTCCCATTAAATTCCCTTTTTTTCCCTGGCATTCTGCATCCATTCTTATAAAATTCCCTTTTTTCCCTGGCATTCTGTATCCATTCCCATAAAATTCCCTTTTTCCTATGGCTTTCTCTATCCATTCTTATAAAAGTCACTTTTTTTCCCTGGCATTCGGTATCCATTTCCATAAAAATCCCTTTTTCCCCAGCATTCTGCATCCGTTTCCATAAAATTCCCTTTTTCCCTGCATTCTGTATCCATTCTTATAAAATTTCCTTTTTCCTATGGCTTTCTCTATCTATTCTCACAAAATTCCCTTTTTCCTCTGGCATTCTGCATCCATTTCCATAAAATTCCCTTTACCCCCAGTATTCTGTATCCATTTCCATAAAATTCCCTTTTTCCTATGGCTTTCTCTATCCATTCTTATAAAAGTCACTTTTTTTCCCTGGCATTCTGCATCCATTCCCATAAAATTCCCTTTTTCCCAGCATTCTGTACCCATTTCCATAATATTCCCCTTTCTCCCTGGCATTCTATATCTATTCTCACAAAATCCCCTTTTTCCCCTGGCATTCTGTATCCATTCCCATAAAATTCCCTTTTCCCCCTGCATTCTATATCCCATAAAATTCCCTTTTCCCCCTGCATTCTATATCCCATAAAATTCCCTTTTTTCCCTGCATTCTCCATCCATTCCCA